TCTGTTAAGAAGCAACTTGAAATAGAAAGAGAAGAAAAAGTAAGTTTTATGTCATTATAGGTTAAATGATTATAGGGTTTAGGTATAACTTTGCATTTTTATAAGCATATTGTTTTAGAATTAATTTGATAAATTTGGTTAACTAGAGATAAAAAAAGTTTTCCATGTTAAAAATGGGAAAAAAGAAAAAAATGTATTTAGCACATTCCTTCAATTAAATGTTGTCAAACACTTGGGATTATACATGGACTTTTAAGATTAAAAATACTTTCAAATATTCCATAAGTGGGGCCAGGGATATAGCTCAGTGGCACAGCACCTGCTTGGCAAGCATAAAGTTCTGAGTTTAATTTCTAATACCAAAAGAAAAAAAATTCTATAACTATTTGAGAAATATTTTTGCACATGAAAATGTTAATATATTTAATGTAGTTTTTTTTGTTGTTGTTTTTTCCAGTATGGGGAATCAAACTCACGACCTTGTGCTTGCCAGGCAGGCGCTGTGTCACTGAGCTAAATCCCCAGCCCCTATTTAATGTAGTTTTAAAGTCATTGTTTCAAAAAATGGTTTATATCTGGGTAGCATTTTGCATTTTACAAAGTGAATTGATTCTCATTTTAACATAAATACTATTTTTTTCCCTTTTTAATGGCAGGCACTGTGTTGAGTATCCTACTTATATCAAATTTATCCTTTCAATAATGTTGTGTGCAATACTAATTATACTGATTTTTAGGGAGGTTATTTACTCATAATCACATAGTAAGAAAGGAGAATGTCTAGAGTGCAAATGTGTGTCTTACTTTCCATGGCTTTGAAACCTCACAACTTAATCAAGCTATAGCACTTTAACATATACTTTCAATGTCAAACTTCTGCAAATTTGTTAACTTTTTTTCCTGCATTTAATTCTTTTCATCCTTTTCCATTGGTGGAAAAATCTTATACAACTTTCATCTAAAAATGTAAGTTGACTGTATATAAGTTTTTGTGTAGCATTGTTACATTAAAAGTTACTTTAGTCTGTTCCTTTGATTATACAGTATTGCAGGCTTTTCAAAGGCTAGAACTGTGTTTTATCTTTGATTTCTCTATCTGAACACAGGCTTCGCAACTTTTATATTTTCAATAATATTAAAGAAATGACCAAATAGATTACTGTAATAATATTCATACTTTTATCTTACTGTTTTGGTGTATCAGTAGAAGAGCCTTTCTGGGTCTGTTGATGTCCTGTTATGTGTGACCACCCTCCTTGCTGGGAATTGAACCCAGGGACTCATGGAAGCTAGGTCCTACTACTGAGCTACATCCCCAGCCCTCACTTTTTGATGTTCTCTATTAAATACTCAGCGATCTTCAATTTCTTATTCTCAAGATAATAAACATACATAAGACTTCCATCTTTAAACAAGTCTTAAAACATTTACCTGCTCCGTAAATACTAATCTCTGTTCTGATCTTAAACAAATTTCTAGAAAGAGTACCTGTATGTAATACTGTCTACTTTATCAACTTTCATCTCCTCCTGTTTTTGAATATAGCTGTTGCTCTAACAACTGAGTTGGGTCCTGTTGAGCTCTTTAATGTTTTCTTTTTTTAGAAGTGTATTTAATTTGTATATCAAGAATGGTTGAAAGTCACAGTTTACTTAGTATTGTGTTTATTTCTGATCATTTATCTATGAATACATATGTATACACACATACCTATATACAAATACAAATGCTGTCATACACATGAACCAAATATACACATAAATATATTAAAATTTTGGGCCTGATGGTAGAGTGTATTATTCAAAATGTATACTATCCTTTCCTGTGGGGTCCCTTTCATTTTTTTAAAAGTTCATGATTTTCTTATTAGCACATACTTGACATACAAAATGATCACATTCCTCATAGGAAATTTTGTACCTGTACATAATATATCCTGATTTTCTTTTTTTCCCATTTCCCTCCCTTCCCTTCATCCCCTCTTCCCTTCCACATTTACAAAAGCTTTGTTTACAGATTTTTCCTTCTATTCACTTTTTTAACACTTTTCCCCTTCCTTCCCCTCTTCTTACTCCCTTTCCCATTTGATCATGTTTTTTATTCTTCCTAATACCTAACTTCCATTTTGCTCCTTATTTACCCCTTGGGTTTCCCACAGATAAATAATGCAATATTTAAATTTGCATGTCCAATTTATTTCGCTTAAAATTATGGTCTTGAGATGCACCCATTTGCCTAAAAATATCTCAAACGTATCCTTCTTTATAGCAGAGTAATATTCCATTGTATATAAAAACCATTTTCTTTGTTCATATGTTGATGGGCATATGGACTGTTTCTAAGCTTTTATGTATATATGTATGTATGTATTTATTACTGGTATTTACTCACTTGAGTACACTATTTTTCTGAGGTGGGAATTCACTAGTATAAATTTCCTTCATAAGACTGCTTTCATTGTATCCTATAAATTCCAGTATGTTTTATTGGCATTATTGTTTAATTGTAGAAACTGTCTAATTTCTTCTTTAATTTCATCTGTGACCCACTGGTTGTTTAGGGGGGTTATTATTTAATTTCCATGTGTTCATGTAGTTTTTGTGGTTTCTTTGGCCATTGACTTCCAATTTCATTGTGTTACAATCTGATAATATGCATGAGATAATTTCAGTTCCTATGCATTTACTTAAGTATGTTTAGTGAGCTAGTATGTGGTTTGTTTTAGAGAAAGTTCTGTGTGCTACTGAGAATGTATATTCTAGCGTTGTTCAGTGGAACACTCTGTAGATATATACTGAGTCCATTAAGTTCAGAGGTTTGGTACAGTTCTGATATTTCTTTGTTGATTATTTTCTAGTGCAGTCATGGGAAACCTTTTGGAGCTTTCAGTGATACAAACAGCCCACCATGATATGAGGGTTATAGGTTTGCCACCACTGGTCTAGTTGATCTGTCTGTTTATGACAAAGGGGTATTGAGGGCCAGCATTACAATTGTATTAGTGCTTATTTGATTTTTCATATCCCTTAGTGTTTGTTTTGTCTAGTTGGGTATGCTGATATTTGGTGCGTATGTATTTATGATATCTTTTCCTCTTGGGTTATTCCCTTAACAAGTATGTAGTGACCTTCTTTGTATCTTCTGATCTGTCTTGGCTTGAAATCCACTTTGTAAATAGAATAGCTATCCCTACCTTTTTCTGAGTTCCCGTTGCATGGATATTGTTTTCTATCTTTTTACTTTGTCTATGAATTTCTTTTTGAGTTAAATATGTTTATTTTGAAAGATAACTTTGCAGTATACACCAATCTGGGTTGCAGGTTGTTTTCTTTTAGGTTGTTTTGATGTGAGGTCCCTTTCAAAGGGAGGTTTATATATTTCACTGACTCCAGATTTGATCAAATGATTTGTTTAGTCAATTAAATATGAGCAAAATGGCATTTTTGAGAAGCTTTAAGACACTCACCAAAAGGTCTTCAAGGCTATCATGTTCCAGACAGAAATTGCTCTACCACCTAGAGTCCTTACAATGATATTAAAAACAACCTGTAATTAACATGTAATATGAATGAGAAATATTTTTTGATAGAACCCACTAAGATTTGGAATTATTTGCTACTACAATGCAATTTAGTCAGAACTCATTGATAGAGGGATCATATTGTGTACATCAATTTATATTTTTTATAAAATATTTTTATAAAATCATTTTATGTTATTAATCATACAGAAGAGCACAAAAAAGATTAAAACTGTTCCACAAATGCACCGTTCAGTTTAATTTTTCCCCCTCTGCTGTACTCTGCTCTTCTCTCTCTTTGCTCTTTTCCCTCTCCCTTTCCTTCTCTCTCTCCAACTTAGGTTTTCTTTTTTTAACACTGTGTTTTGTGCTATGAGTTTTCTTGATTTGTCTTATTTTTTTCCAGTGTATTCTGTACTTTGAGGATAATCCCTCTTTGGTCCTGAAATTTTCAGGAAAAACTTTTAACATTACAGTTGCTTGAGGTTTTTCTAATTTTCATTTTTATTGTATTATGTAACCTTTTGTTTTTTTTAATAGAACTTTTCTGGCATTTTCTTTACTCTAAAATATAGTAGAAGTAAATATTACAATCCTCTGAGATGAACAAAACAGATCATGAAAAACGTACAGGAGGAAAGTTGTTCATGCCAGTGTAGTTTTAGCCAAATTTCTGCACATGGTAATATCTTAACAAAACCCTAGTTCTGTATTACAACAGGATATTGACGCTGATGCAGTCAAGATTCAGAACAGTTCCGTTCTTGTGAAGATCTTTTATATTGCCCTTTTTTTGTTTTGTTTTGTTTTGTTTTGTTTTCCAGTACTGGGAACTGAACTCACA